TTGTATAATTAAGGATTTAAAAATTATCAAAGTTGAAATTTATAATAAAAACATAGTAAGTGGACTCAAACTTTTGGAAGCAACTATATTTTGATAAATTTGAGCTTTTAACTTTTATAACTTCTTATATTAAAGATATATTTTTAAACTCAATTATTAATAAAAGAAGATGGTTATATTTTCTTCTTATAAATATTAATTTTTCTCAAATTCTTTTGAAACTCCTATTTCTAAATCTTTTAATGAAAATATTATTCACAATTACTACCTTTATTTATAAAAATCTGATAAAAAGTTAGTTTAAATTTATTTTTTGATTAAAACTCAATTTTTTTTATTTTATTCAATTTATATTGAAGAAAATACACTTAATAGTCTATTAAAACCTGTGAAAAAATTAATAACAATTTTATCAAATAGTGAAAATGTTTTGCCAATTGAACTAATAATGGAGTTTATTATCTTAAATATACAATAACAAGTAAAAATTATTAATTTATTTAATTTATTTTTTTTATAACTAACTATTAATAAATTATTAGATTGATCAAAGATTTGAAATTTTTCAAGATATGCAACAAACCTGTAGCACTATATATATTTTCATAAATCAATCAAACTTATGCAATATTACAAGTAAATATCACGAATCCTCCATTTAACATATTTATATAAACAAAATTTAAGAAAAATTTTTAAATTTTATATTTTTTAAGTTAATTTTTATTGAAGCTTTTAAATTAGTATTTAATAAGTTTACAAAGTATATAGGTAATCATTTAGCATTACAACTTTTTAAAACTATTTAATGTTTTGATCTTAAATTTATTTACAATTCGGTAATTTAACAAAATATTAGGCTTTATTTATCATAGATAAAGTTTAAAATATTATTAATGAATTGTTAAATTAGTGGATATTTACTGTAAGTTAGATAAAGAGTCAGATGACATTTTAGATTTAGATCAATATTGGAAAGAGAAACCTAAAGACTTACTATATCTTTCACAAATTGGTTTACTTTATATATAGTTACCTATTTCAGATATAGATGTTGAACTTAGTTTTAATAATTATAAAAATATTTTAAGTGATAGATGACATACACTTTCAAAAAATTCTCTTTTGATATTAAATTTACTTTATTTTAATAGTAATTAATGGTGGATCCCTAAAGTATTTAGTATATAAAATTTCACAGATCACTTATGTCTCTTTTTGAGGGACAAAATTACTAGCTCTTCACTTTAATAGGGACAAAACTCAGGAAATGCTATAAATCAATAATTTGGATAATAGAGAATAATTGTGGGTAGTTTTTTATAGTTATTAATTTAAAAATATCAATGTTTCCTAGTGAGGGACATTTGACTTTTGTTCTTGCCTCCCCCTTTAAAAACCCATCTTTAATAATGATAGAACTACTTAATCCATTTGATAGTATATTAGCATATAAAATAATAAATTAGAATTTATATCAATATGTACTGCATATAATTCCTTACTTTTAATTGCATTAAGATCACATAATTCGATATTACACATCACACAAAATGATTTTTAAATCGTGTGAATCTAAATTTGAAATAATCATTGCATAATCTATTTCCGGTGTATTACAAGCATAATATTAATATAAATCAGATAGTAGACAGTGTAAATTTTTTATTAATAAGGAGTTTGTGATTTATTTATTGTATTGACCGTGCCAGCTCTGCTAATAATGATGATGGCGAATTTTTCTTGTCATTATATATCGCGGTAGAAAAACTTTATTTCATTGATCGAAGTTTGACATTAATGTTACAGTCAATCGTATAAATTGTACGAAAATTTGAGTACGATTTATCGATATGACTTTATTATTTAGACTCGAAGAAATTTGACATTATCAAGGTAAAGCTATGTGAGGGTCATTTCCAAAATTTTGCTAATTACATGATCGATGTCATCCTGGGATAGATTTAAAATTGTTGTTGCATTAACTGTGTTTTTCTATAATGATCAAACCATAGCCTAATATGTACCTTCCCAGATCATGTGACCTTATCAGACTCGAACTTTTGAATTTACATTGTTTGAAAAAAGAGCATTTTTGGCCATAATGACAGTTCAGTGTCTCTACCATATCGTAGAAGAATTGATTTTACACCTCTCAGTAAGGGACCGTTACACATAATTGTATATCTAGAAGTCGCTATACAGCACTTTACTATACACAATCTTTATTTCGTCAAATAAAACCAACATGATGATTTTTTTTTAAAGTAGCAAATAGCAATAGAAACTAAATAAGCTATTTTTTAACTCTTTTCGATGAACTAGCCCCTCCCAATGAACTACCTTTTCTTTTTAGTGAACTTCCACTTGATGAACTTTCAGAGAACAAATCCATTCTCAGAGCGTATTGCTTGACGCGATTTTTAATCCAACTTGGCATTCTCCGAGTATTAGCATTATTAGTGGTAATAAACTTCTGATTTTGATAGCGATCGTACAACTCTGCTGGTACAACAAAATAAAAGGAGATTTCGCCCGTCCTCGCTAATTTGCTAATAAGTTTCTTCAAACCAATAATCTTAATAGGATGATTTATGGCATTAGTCACCTGGAAGAGCATATCGGGAGCAATAATTGCATCAATCGACGGAAAATTTTTATTATTCGGTCGATAGTACTTTCCATCTTCAATCGTTCGAACTGCAGAAAACGTAAGTATCTCGTTCTGTTTCTTTATATCCTGAATTAATGCTCTATGGTCATTATACTCTAAAGAACGAACTTCGAAAGTTCCCCCATTCCGCAACATCCTGTGAGCGATCTGCTCAAAACAGATACTCAAGCATGGATTGATTATACCCTCTGTCAAGCTTAGTTCAAATTCCGTACGTAATCTGTCTAATATTGATATTTTAAGTTTCTCAGTCACTTTTTCACCCACATAATCAGATGCAAATGTTATAGTTTTTAGCGTATAGGGTTCCTCATTGACGTATTCAACTTCTTCACCACTTTCGACCTCTATATCGCTTCCATCATCTTCGCTTTCATCAATCAGGGGGTTCGTGCAGATATGAATAAGTTTGTGACTGACTTCATCTCGGCTATAACTTTCACCAATATAATTAAATATCTTTTCATCGCATCTAGCAATCGCATCTTCGAGCGTATTTTGCTGAGTCGGGTCATTAGCCTTCTCCAGAACAAACCGAGGGATCCCTCCCCATTTAAGAAATAACTGCTTAACCTCAGATTATTTAAGATGATTATATATCATAGTCCTGCATGCATCGACCTCTTCCCACTCCCACACCGGCATGTACCGTATTGTTGTCCCGATAAGCTTATCAAAGTTCCTATAGTGATCCTTCATAGGCGAACAGATGAGAATTGTCTTGGCGTCATATTCCATCGGTTCCCTACTATCCACGATATACCAAACCTCTTTGTGACTCAAGTAATTATTGAATGCGTGAATATTGTCTTCGATCTGACCGAAAACTCCCTTCTCACTGAAGAGAATTGGAGACATGTTAAGTTTGTGATACACAACTGTTTTACGTTGTTGTGAAAGGAGATAAAGTAGATAATAGCTGAAGAAGGTTTTCCCAATTCCCGGATTGCCAGTAATACGCAAACGACGTATATTTTCATTATCAAAAATAATATTACACAGGTGGTGATAACATTCACGGATGAACAGAGTAGATATATTGGAACCCTGTGAGGTTTCGCCTAGAAGATAGTAAGCGTCCCTGGATAATTCAAGGAACTGGCTACCATCACGCTTCTCAACTTTCCCACTCTTCAAATCATTCTAAAACTTTCCCAGTTTTTCATAATAATAACCGTATTCTCTTCGTTTACTAGGGGATTCTATATGTCAGAAAATTATTAATGTAACAAGAACGAAACAATGGCTATCGAAAATCAAACCAAGACGCGTTTATTCCATCGACTAAATTTATTACGACTCACTTACCGGTGGCACCGGGTTGCTCTACGATAACATAAATGTATTTTTGGGGGCAGGTGTGATGATAAGAAGCGAGAAAGAGCACAAGAATAAATAATTATTGGCGAATATTGACACTGTTTAGGCGAGAATAAGCTCGCTTGCCTCCTTGAATTTTATTTCGATTTCCTTAGCTGGTCCACCCGGTATTCCCCATCTTTTAAAATCCGTTGCAGTAAAATCAAAGAAGTTGCTACCCTTAACCCTTTGATTATATAATATTTCGATATCTCCGTCTTCAAGGTCTAATTCAGTTTTGTTGTTTTGTAAAAATGCTTTAACGTCCTCTCGACTCCATGCCTTCACATGTTCATCTATTAAAATTAGACATGACACCGGTTGAGGAACTTGTAACGTAAGACGACATAGCTTTTATGACTAAAAAAGTAATGAAAGAGTAGTACGAATGGAAAATGAGAAATCGATCTGTAATCGACCTATAGTTTTACTGTATTATCACTATAAGTCGTGCTTTATAATACTACATATAAAAAAACTGTCAAACTTCGAGAATGCGCCATTATGGCTCGATCTCGAAATTCCACAATCACGTGGGCACCATTTTATGCTTGTGTATTCTTTCCGATATATGTCCACATCACAAGAATTTTAACGCGACTCAACTAAGGTACACGTGTTTTTCATGCAATTATATAATCTACCGTCTACATCGCATCTTCATCGTACCTTCATCGTACCTTCATTGCATCTATATTATAAGAGAAATTACTAGGAAATAGAATCATACGTCCGAAATTGTATTAATGTATAATTTAGGATTTTTGGATTCAACAAGACAAAAATATAGATTGATTAATTTTCTAGAATTGGTTTAATCCATATAATACCTTCTATATATTTTTCAAAGTTAATAAAGATAAGAGCTTTCTAATAAATTTGATTTACAATAAACTTTAAGTACTACAGATATTTAAAAAAAAGAAAATTATAAGTTTACTTATTGACTACCTATCCATTATGTGAACTATAAAAAGAAATATTAAGTTATCTCTTTGAATACCTAATCACAAAGGAGTTTAGAAAAGATATATGAAAAGAAGCATATAAAACAATTAACTTTTATATTGATAAAGAAATAAAAGATAAGAAAGAAGTTTTGCCAGAAATTGATAACTAGACAAAGAACTGGTCGGAAGAGATCTAACAATCAGATAGAAATCTTTTTAACAATATATAGTATAAAAATATATAAAAGAAAATAGAATCATAACTTTAAAGAACTATCTCAAAAAGCAACTTAAGATTTTTTTACAGCTACACAGTCTATAATTAGCAAACTTTATTAGAAGATACAAAAGAATTTCAAGAAAATGAACTAATACCATTGCTATACTAAAGTAATAAACTGAAAAATAATCTAGATATTACCAAAAAAAAAAGAAAAAGAACAAGAAAAATCTAATATATTGACTATTCAAAATTATGAAAAACCAATATCACTTCTGGTAATGATTTTATTAATTTAGGGTTAATTCAAATTAATAAAAAAACAAAATATCATTTCTTAAGTTATATTTAAAGAATTGATTTTTTTATAATAGATAAATTAATATATGAAAATTATAACAATTTTATAAATATTTATATACAGTATATTCAATAAAAACATGCTATATTGATCTGACTATACAGTATGTTAAAAAAAAATTATTTTAATAAACTCTTTATTGATCTTTTGACTATAAACAAAAAAGATATTTGTAAGAAGTTTTTATACTTATTTACTAATATTATCTAATACTTTTCTTAAAACAACTTAAAGTATAATTTTAAGATTTATCTCAATATTTGTTTTATTGTTAACAAATCTCTTTACTTAAAAACCTAACTTCCAATAATTAAAAAAAGTCAAGTAATATATTTGATATCAATAATACAAAAGTTTTCAAAAGAAAAGCTGATTATAAAATATTTAAATATCTTTTTAATCTTTAAAATGTGGATATTTATAAAAGTTTTTTTTCAATAAAAATATTTATTTTCTTTTTTTTAAACTATTTAAACCCTTTTAGAGTTTCTATTTTTATAATTTTCTAAAAAATTTATATATTTTAATTTGATATTAAATTTTGAGTAATACTAATTATTATTAAAAATAATTGATAAATATAAAATATATTAGTTTTTAAAATATAAATAAATTTATATTAATTATACTTATATATTCTAATAATATTATTGATAATTAAAAAAATATTTTGAAAATGTTTATTCTTAGAAGCTTAAGTTTTCTAATTAAAATATTTATAATATTAAAAAATTAAGAAAAGAATAATATAAATTACAAATTTTTATTTTTTATCCAAGTTCCTTAAGTAATATTAGGATTTTAATAAACAAAAGTTAAGATTCAAATACTTTTTTTGAAATATCTTAATCTAATACTTGTTTAAATAAAGAATTCATTGGATTAATTTATTTGATATTGCAAGTAATAATAACAAAAATTTCTTTTAAAGTTTAAATAAAATAAAAAATCTATTTCAATTAAACAAATTTTTTATAAAAAAAATTATTTTTATTATTAAACTTTTTTTATAAATTTTTAATTATTTTTTTTTTCTATTTTATTATTTTTTTTTTTTATTTTAGTAATTTATAATTTTTAGATCAAGAACAATAAAAACTTTTAATAATAATTTTTTTTTAAAATACTGGCTCAACCTTATTTTATTTATATATTTGCAACAAAATTATATATGATGGCTATCCTAGAACTTACTATATATTTTTTACTAAACAAAATTCAATAGAGAAATTTTCTTCTTGGGATATTCATTTTGTAACTTATTGTTATACCTTATAAAGAAGTTAACCTGTCAAGACTGGACTAGTGCTGAAATAAATTTCAAAAATAAAGGAGTTGTCTATGATATTTATAAGCCATTGATTCATAAAATCATTGTCATGATCTTTATTAGTGATATACCTGTACATTCATATAAGGCAACTGTCTTGACTTAATCACTTATATTACTCTTTGTATATAGATAGATAATGTATATACTAACAAGTACTTATACATATACTTATATTAATAATTTATATACATAAGTAGCTTTTATATATTTACTAACTATATATAAACATTATCTTATTGGAAAACCATGTAATTTCTTCTTAATTTTTTTCAAACCATTTTTATTAAAAGTAATCTAGTTATTAGGCTGTCAATTTTTCTTTATCCTGGATTTAGATTTTGATTCTTCAGAGTGATCGGCAAATTTCTCTTTCCATTAAGGCCTCCCAATTGTTAAGTCTATATGTCAAATCATAGTCATATATTTGAAGTTTTAAAATTAAATAAGATCTTTTATCAGTCCTTCTTTAGCGGTATGCAACTGGTTTAGAGATCTACTCTCCTTGTTACCAGCAGGTGGTAATATGATCCTATCAAGGATAATTCTACTCGATTTCAGATAGTGACCTGATCACAATTTTTGTATAGATCATCCTATATTATGGAAATCTTGATTTTTGATGAGAATCAGTGAAAAATTGACAATTATCTTAATCTGCACCAGCTATACTCAGAAACATTAATTACATATAGTAAGCCAATAAATAATTTGCCAGATTCTACCTGCTTTTATGATTAGAAAATCACATTAGCCTTTTAAAGAATTTGAACCTACATCTTGTGATCTGATCCATAAAGTGCTAACTATTGTACTATAAATCTGTATGTCTAACTTTTAATAATAATTAATTTTAGTAATAATAATAAATCTAATTTAACTAGAAAAGTAGCATATTGTCTTCTAAATTAAACTTAAAGTACTTTTATATAAAAACAAGTTAACTGTATTATAAAAAGTTTATAATTATATTAAATTTCTAATTAATTTCTAAATAAAAATATAATATTATAGTTAATTATTGATTAAAAAATAATTTTATTTTTAATTTAATTTTTTCCCTAGTTATATATAATTTATTAAATATTTTGTAAACTTTATATATCAATATGATATTAAAGCTAAATCTTTAACTAATTCACTCATTTTAATTATTGTTATTTTAAGTACAACTTTGGAAGTGATTTATTACCCCACTAATAGTTCAGATAAATACCCTTTCAACTATTAATATTATTGCCTATAGATCACCACTGTAGATGACTTTACTAAGCTCTAACAAATATCAAATCCCAACTAGTTCATTGTATATTCAATTCCCTTTGTTAAGATCTACTTCAGATTCTTGTTATTCAATCTTTCTTTTTTAGAAATTGATTGTTTATTAACCTTGATCTTGATATTTTAGACTTTCAGATCTGGCTTTCTTACTTTATTCTTTCTTTTGATTTCTTATAACTGTCTTATTCAATTACTCTTATATATCTTTTATTTCAAATCTCTTTTCAAAAATATAAATCATTCACTCTTTCCGCTAATTCTCTGACTACGCACAAAAAAGACGTTCGCAAGAAGTTTTTATACTTTTAAGCTAACAGAGTCTTACTACTCTCCTTAAACCAACTTGAAGAAACTTCA